AGGCCCTTCTCTCCTTTTTCTTTCAAGATGGCTAAGTCTGCCTTTAAGCCCCCCCATTTCATCCTCTCCTTTACCGTCTATTCTTGTTGAAAAAAACCGGCTTATGGCCGGGGATATGTCTTCCTGCAAACCCAAGTACGTTTATTCATTTTCTGAGAAGTCTACTGGTCGATCACTTTTTTGGATCCGGGACTGGTTAATGGCTCTGCCAAGCCCAATAGACACCCGGTCATCTTTCAGCATTTATGTCATAGTCAAGGAAGCTGTGTTTACGTGCGTTAGTTTGTCTCCTTCAAGCTCAAACAGTGCAGACTTCTCCTCTTCAAGGAAAAAGCGAAGAGGTTTCTGCAATTTCTCCATCTCACTATTTTGCCTTTATATCTCCTTCTCTAGATCTGAAAATTGGTGTAAATTTTAAAAGTCGTGTTGGCATAACACGTACAGGCTTCAACTTCGTAACCGACATCCCTTTAACGTATTTGACTTTTGGTCCGTTTGATAGGAGGCCTTTTTATATGAAGTCTAGAATTGTAGTCGTGCATATTACACCTAGTTCTTATTCCATCACGTAAATTTAAATCAGTTGAATCAGCGGTCAAATGTGGTTCAGTGGTATCTTCGCAGCTTACGGAACCTCGGTGACTGGATTCCATCCTCGGTCCCACCAAAAAATTCGCATAATTCTCGGAGGCAGTAGTTTCGACTTCCATGATCAATTGCTAACGATAAGTGTTGTTTACGTTATGGTACGACGTTTTCAACGAGAAAAATCCTATGAATAACAGAGGAAAATGCCTTAGCCGTTCGTGGATTGGAAGATCTCGTAGGGATGCTGCCAAGAACTGCTTCGGAGGATAATGGCCGTTTCCTGTTGTAAACTCATGAGGTTGACAAGGGTGTCGAATAGAATCCAATACTTAATAGCTGAGGTTCGTCAAAATGCCCAGTAGACCGAAAATCTGAAGCAAGTAAATTCCTCGGAGGTCGAAAATTTCAAAAAAAATTCGGATGAATTATTCAGATCCGTCACAAACACTTACTAATAAAGCAGGCCTTCGAGATATCTAGTGAATACTATATTCATTGACTGCATAATCATGTGTAGTATTCGGCTTCCCGGATCAAAATTGGGGATTCTTTACCTTCCAGTATGATGGGCGGTGGGCATGACACCATTGTGATTGCAATCACGACACCCGGTGGAATTTTGTAGATCCGGTGATTAGAGCGTTGGCTGAACTCAAGTCACACTCTTACTGTCATCCCTTTGAACCCCACCGAGGGCACCGAGTTTTTCACAAATGAGTTAAATCGAATAGTGAGTTCAAAGGTACACATATATAGTCTTTTTAATTAAACCGAACTGAACTAACTAACTGCTCGCAATGAAAATGTGCATGTTAATCGTGCTATCATCCTATCTTTTATGCTGCAATTATGTGTAAACGCTAGTAGGATTTTCGGCTATCTTCACGCCACCCTTTCGAATCTATCGACACCTGTTTTTCCTAAACTCCGTTTTAAAGTGCATGTTTGTTTAAACAAGCGGTGGAGGTGATGGCAGTTGTTTTGAAAGTTTTCGCCGTGTGTTTTTCGCGATTATTTGGGGATGACTACTGCTGCCAAAAATACGAAGAAGGGCAAGAAAGCGCAGCCACCTCAGGATCCAGCACCGGAGGAAAAAAAGGAAGTTGTCGTAGAATCGGATTCTGACTCGGATGATTCTGTGCCTGAGCTTGCCGAGGAGAAAAAGGCAGGTGATGCTCTGACAGCCGATGATGACCTTTTGGGCTTGAATAAACAGTCTCGCAGCGAGAAGAAGGCTCGTAAAGCCATGACAAAGTTGGGCTTGAAGCCAATTCCGGGAATCTGCAGAGTGACAATACGGAAAGCGAAGACAATAATGTTCGTTATTAACAACGTTGATGTCTTCAAAGCCCCAAACTCCGATACCTATGTCATTTTTGGCGAAGCTAAGGTCGAGGACATGTCTGCTCAAGCCCAAATTGCTGCAGCGGAGAAACTGCGGTCCCAGGCTCTGTCGGGCACCACGCCTGCTGCTCATGCAGAGACGGCTGAGACCACTTCAAAGGCGGCTATAGCAGAAGAGTCCGACGACGAAGAAGTATGTTATCTGTTCGACCTTTAACTTATTCTAAAAGGTTGACGCCACCGATCTCGACGCAAAGGATATCGAACTAATAATGCAACAGACAAATGTTTCCCGCTCAAAGGCTATCAAGGCGCTCCGTGAGAATGGGCTGGATGTAGTTAATGCTATCATGGTAAGATGCGATATTATTTTCTCTAAAATTCTGTGCAGAACCTCTCCGGCTAATCGGATTGT